TTGGAGAGTGATGACCATATGTCAGCTAAACAGTTGAAAGATGTGATTTACCACTGGGAGAAGTTCAGGAACTGGGCTTCAAAGCACCCAGAAGTGGTAGAAAAAAACTGAACTAACTTTGTGTCACTGAGGACCCAGTGGCCCCCTTCTTAAACATAAGTTAATGGTGAGGAGGACAGATGCCCCACAGACCAATTGACACTTTCTTCAGTAAAAGGCAGAGGGAACAAGATGCTAGCCCTCAGCCTTCCACTCAAGAAGGAGAGAGGATGTTCATGGTGGGAGAATCTGTCAGTCCAGAGGTTCCTGACATTTTCATGGAAGGCACCCACCTTCCAAGAAGCAGTAAAATGCTTCTCCACTTCCCTTCTTCTTCTCCCTTCTCCTCCTGCACCTCCCACTTCAAATGCACATCATCACCATCATCCAGGAGCCTCTACATACACACACACCTCAAAGTAAGTAAATTTTTCCGCTATTTTTGTTGAAGTTAGGAAATTTTCGTGAGCTGGAACCACTACCAAAACCCATTGAAACAATGGTTTCGTTAATCTAACGTTTCGTTAACTTAATCCACCTTCTGAACGGATTGAGTTCGTTAACCGAAAATACTGTATATGTATATATGTATATATATGTATATGTATATGTATATATCGAGGGCCACACTGTATATGTATATGTATATATATGTATATGTATATATATATATATATATATATATATATATATATATATATATATATATATATATATATATATATATATATATATATATATATATATATATATATACAGGGTGTCCCATAAATTTCCATACATAGGAAAAATAAATTTTATATGGAAATCCATTTTTATTTATATAATATGCTCTACATGACTACCATTCTGTTGAAAACACTTTCAATGCGTGTCCTCCACTGCTGAAGAACACGTTCAAGCACAGCTGGAGTTATGCTTGTAATGGCGCGGTGATACGTTGTATGGAAATTTATGGACACCCTGTATATATATATATATTACTTCCAAAATCAACGATGTTTTTATTCAAGACATCTTCAGAGGCAGCTGTTCAGTTGCCTCTGAAGATGTCTTGAATAAAGACAAAGCTAGGTGCTCCGCTGTTTCACTTTCCCGTGATTTATCAAGATTTATCTTATCCACATTTTCATTTGGATCTACATGAAATATATACATACAGTAATACCGATTTACGCTGTCAATTGAACCCGCAGAGTAGCGCCAGAAATGAGAAAATGCGTAAATGGAATAACAGAACATATGGGATTATTTGAAATAGAGATCACGACTCCAAACTCCACTTTTTCAGACACAATACCTACGTTGTAACAAAAATAACATCTTAATTTTATGATGGTATGCACACACAATTAATAATTAAGAGAAATATCAATAATATTAGGTTTTTTAACAGTTACATTACTAGAAAAGATGGCTGGGCACAAGGGGATGGGGGATTGGTTCCGAGGCAGATGGCAGACTATTGGCCCTCACCTGTATCAACTGTATCACTATCCACCATAGAGGCTTGCAGGGCCTCTTTGTCAAACCCCTCAAAGTCCATATAAGTCCATACCCTCACTATCACGCTGACTCTGCTGTGGTGGGTGGCGGGTGAAGAACGGTAATGTTTTGATGATTGGGCGACCTTGTGCGACACTCTGCCCGCCGCTTCCATCAACATGAGTAGATGCACCCTGGATTTGGTTTACACGCTTGCTCATTCACCAACACCTTGCCAGAATTAAAATTTTGAATTACGCAGTTCATTGCATCACTTACGGGCGAGAGGTCCAGACACACCATGCCAATTACGACCACGCCGTCCATTTTGACCATACGCTGAAGCGCAGAGGGTGAGCAGTATGTCGCTGTTAGCGTTATCGCTGACGCCATATGACGATCGACTGTGATTGGGTCACGATCCTTACTCCTCCCCCTAGCTGTGATTGATAATAATATGACGTGCCCAGCCACGGAAGGAAGAAGCCATTGACCTCGCCGCCAGTTTCATTGTTCTCAGCCTCCGCAGATACTGTTCTCTCTTGTGCCCGCTAATTGTTCAACAATGGCTTCCGCTGACCCCACCACCCCAGAAAAACCTTGAATTACCTGGACCAAGCCGCCTCAGCCCAAGAAGATGCTGCCGCTACAGTTAATACGGATAAAGTACAAAATAGTCCAGGACTTAAAAAGGAACCCATACATTCCCAGACGCCAAAGATATTAACGAATCACTATCTGCATAATCAAGAAGGATACCGCCAAGATAAAAGAACACATGAGCATCACAAGTCTGCAGGTGCTTCAATGGTGAAGTATTGTCAGAATAAGGTGCTGCTCAAGACTGAGAATTTACTGGTGAGCTACTTGATTCTTCAGGCAAGACGGAACATGGCGTCGCATCGCAAGCAGTGCAGGACTACACCCGTGAACTTAATCAGTGGCCAAAGATGGGAATTGCAGACCAAACACTTCACTGCTTCCTCTGGGTAGCTGCAAGGGTTTAAGAAATGTAACAAGATAACCAACATTAACATTGTTGGTGAAGGAGCCAGTGCTGACTGTGCTGCCGCCTATGGATTTACCTCCATTCTATAAGAAGTTATGGAGGAAAGACAGTACACCGACGACCAGGTGTTCAACATGGATGAATCCGGTCTGTTTTGGAAAAATTACCTTCCAAGACCTTCGCTTGTCAAGTCTGCCAGCAAATGTCGGCGAAGTTGCAGAAGGAGCCCATCACCGCCCTGTTTACCACCAATGCCTCCGCACCTGTAAGCTCAAGTTGTCGGTGATCCACACAGCCCGCAGTATGCCTACAAGAACATGGACAAGATTAATGTCCACTGCTAACCCACTTAAGGCGTGGATGTTCACTGGTCTGTCCTCTCCTGGTTTGACAACTGTTTCGCTTCCCTGACGCAATTCTCTGGGAGCAACATAATGTTCCATTTAACATTTTGTTGCTCCTGACAACACACCAGGACACTCGCCTCACTGTTGGATCGTCACCCCAGTGTAAAAGTGGTCTTCCTTCCTCCCAACAATACGTCATTAATCCAGCCCATGGACCAGGAGTTGATATGCAACGCAAGGCTGCATTCCCCGAAAGAAGTTTAAGCTCCTGAACGACTATACCAACACCAAGGATGAGTTCTGAACCTTCTGAGTGGCACAGATAGCGGGGACCAGGATCCAGAACAAGGGTTGGCGGAGCATGAAGTGCAGTTAAACAGTTTTGGAAAATGTTTAACGAAGAAAGCTGTTGATTTCTTGGTGGAGGCATGGGGGCAGCTGTTCTGGCAACGATTTGTCACGAGTGGCGGCATGTGTTGTAGGGTATCCCAGGTGGGAGGCAGAGTCAACCTGTGGCTGGAGAGGCTCAGTCTGTTGCAGTGGACCTTGCAAGAGAAGCTGCACAGAGTGTTACAGCTGCAGGCTTCTCCGAGACCACCAACGCATACATCATGGAGGTAATCAGGGATCCTGAGGTGACCTCAGCGAGGAGGCAGGTGGTGCCGCAGCACGAGAACAGAAGTTAACACATGATGATATAAAGGATGCCATCGAGTTTGCCGAGAAACTCAAGCTCATCCATTCTAAAGACCCTCTCAATCACCGATATGAAGTCTCCAATAACCATCTAGACCAAACTTAGGAGCAGTATATCAAGATGTATCACGACTACATCAATGCTAGCCGTCAGCATAACATCACCGACTTCTTCGCCCGCAACCCACAACAGCCAGCCCAAGTCGGTGACAGTGATGGTGACTTTGAGGGGTTTGTCAGGGAGGCCCTGACAACTGTGGTGGATAGTGATAGTGATTTACCTGAGGGCCACTAATCTGCCCTCTGCCTCGGAACCAGCCCCCATCCCCATGTGCCCAGTCACCTCTTCTACTAACGTAAATGTATATTCTTCTCTTATTGATATTTCTCTTCTATATTATGTGTGTGTGCATACCATCATAAGATTAAGATACTATTTTTACTACAACGTACGTAATGTGTCGGAAAAAGTGGAGTTTGGGGGTCGGCCCAGTCTCTATTTCAGGTCAGAGGGTAAGATGACCCTCTGACCTGACTACTAAGCTTTTGAAGATTAGTAGGGACATTACCAAATACCTGATCATTAGACTTGATCTCACCCTCCTCTGTACTTTTCCTAGTCTGTACTCAACCCTGAAGATGTGGATTACACAAAGTGCTCTGAGAGAGAGAGAGAGAGAGAGAGAGAGAGAGAGAGAGAGAGAGAGAGAGAGAGACACACACACACATATATATATATATATATATATATTTTTTTTTTTACAGTAAACAGACTTTTGCCTGCGTATATTTCACTATTTTAGGTTTGGTAATATCTGTAGATATGTAAACTGCCCACATTTTTTTTTAATTTACCATTTCCACCACTTGTTAGCTTATAAGCCATTTATGTGGTTGGTCTGTTCATTGTTATGACCTTTATTGTCCAGTGTTAGTATTAGGAGGAAACTGGAGTACCCCTACAATGTTTGGTTGGCTCACACAGTGGTGAGAGACAAGCTCGCTACTGCTGGTTGTGTTTACAGTATTTGAATTTGTGACTGAATATTTCATTACACCCTACTCTTCAATTCAAATATGCAAGAACGGGCAGGAATCATTCAAGAGGCTGGCAACTGGGTCAGCCCAGAGCTGTGTCCATCTCATTTTTTGGTGCCCTGGATTTGTGATGGTGAGCAGGGAAGGGCATCCAGTTCAGGTTTTACTCAACAGCTGCCATCAGGTAATCATGGCTAACCCACGCAAGTGTGGAAAATACCAGGAAAACATTAACGATGATGTTGACCTTATACAATTGGGAAGAGAGTAGTGATAACTAACAGAAATAACAAAATAAAAACAACTTACCTTGATATTAATGTTATTCATTTACTGTAACATGAGTTGCTAATACTGTAAAACATGACATTAAACAATACCCTTACCTAAACACTAGTGCAACAGTTGCAGGGCTCTGTGCCCTAGCTGTCTGAGCTGACAAGTTATAGTCACTCAGTTGCTTTTCATCATCAAACACTTCTGTTCCTCGTTCATTCATTAGTTGCTGATTTTCTGGTTCAACTTTCATTATGCCTGCAAAAAATCAAATCAGTAAAAAGTACTCTATAACTATATCAACACATGTTCCTTAGCAATGCTGGTAAAGAGAAAAGTAATAATTTGCTTGATCTTGAAGAATATAACAATCTTTTGTCTGTGAAAAATAGAGGGATTAGGTAAAATTGACAGTTTGATATTCTAGTAAGAAACTATTTACAACATAAAGCAAGATATAACCTTCACAACTTGGGGTGAAGTGTTTTGAAAACACCTGTGGATGACCATCAACTGAGAAGGTGTGAAGATGGCAAATGTTTTCATGTGATGGGCTAAAAGGAAATACATGAGCAGTACAGTACAGCATATACAACCACCATAAAAATAAACACATGTACCATACCAGTAGTTACCAAGGAAGATCAATAATAATATAAAATTACTGGTTATGTAGTGAGACATGAATTCTATATACCTATATCATTGTATCATAGATGGATGATCATCATACTGTACCCAATTCTGAGTGACAGCAAAGCAGCAGTAGTAGTATACCTATACGGTACTCCCACTTCTTAAGGCCGGGAATATACAGAAATATGACAAATGCAGATTGGAGTTTTGCCTTTAGATAAATTTTGTAGGACAGATAAATTTATGAATGTTTTCCCATTTTTTAAATAATTTTTCTGATACAGCACAGGATGGTTAGAATCACGGGCAAAACACACTCCCTCATCCTAAATGCCTTACCAAAAGTCTTTTACACTAGTTTTTCATTTATACAATAAAGTCTCCAGTCCCATCTGGTTCACTCCTGTTGCTTCTTATGTCAAATTCACAGTAAAGTAGATGATCATTTTACCATCCTTGAGGGGTGGTTCACTTGCATGGTTAAGCCATAAACACAGTTGGGGTTCCCACAGGAAAAAATTGAAATAACAAGCTTCTAACACAACTATACGCAAGGGTTGTGTATATCACCACCACTATCATTCTATCGTTGCTTGTTTAGGAGCTAACTTTAATACCTTTTAGGCATATACAGGTAACTCAATGTATGTCTGTCTGTCAGGGGTGGAATGGTGGTGTTAACGCCTTGGCTGGCTAAGTTCATGAGCTGTGTGGCGGGGTCATGTGTGCCCAATTACCCTCTTTACAAATATTTATGGTACCTCATACACTTGGAATTTTGGTATACAGTATATAATAAAAACAAGAATATATTGTTTTCATGCTTGTATGTTTTAAAATACTGTACCAAAATTTGATGCAGCATCAAATGCCATAAATATTTATGTATAAACAAAGTAAATTTCACCAATCACAATCTGTGCGGCTGGCCAGCCGGCCACCCACTGCAAAGTTGCCACATTTTTTATTTACTGTAACTTAAGAGGATATCTACCAAATAACTCGTGCGATTAAAAATTTAAAACTAGAAAGATGATAAAAATGATATGTGACTAATATTCATTTGCCAACCCAACCTATATAAAGCAATCTATTACCATACATTAAAGTGTGTTGTTGTGGACTGAACAGCTGACTCACCCTCCGTGTGGTTGTGTGTGACAGCGGCGCATCGAATACTGTATAGCTGTTTGGTGATCAAACTCACAAACTCAAAGTCAAGTCTAGGAATTACTATACGTACGCATTTTGAGTTAAATTATCGTACATTTTTCACGTTGGTTCAACATGTTTTGTTTAGGGGTGTAAGTGGTACAGCGGTAACTCGCGTAACTCTCACCAATATGTCAAGGGTTCAAGCCCCAGCCTGGACACATGTGAGCTACCAAAAATCACAGTATTCCCGGTTCCAAAAAGTCAATTCTTATTATAGGAATATATTATGAAATAGATTAAGATGAATGAATTATAGGAATAATATATGTTATATTAAGATACAAGGGGCCCACCAAATTCGCGGGATTAGGTTCTAGAAATGGCCGCGAATCGCCAAATCCGAGAATAACATTCGCGGAAGGGGGGGGATTACATTTTTACTTGTGCACAAAGAAATGTATATTTCCTTTATGTGTTTGCGTTTAGGACAATTATTTATTTTCCCTGTATTGTATATATGTGTGTGTGTGTGTGTAGACAAACACACAAAACACACATACAAATAAATATTACTGGGAAAATCCTCTCATATATAATCAGAAACAAATTTATTACAAATGTGAGTCTACCTTCAAGTCCGTGCTTTATTAATACAGTAATAAAACACGGACTTGAGGGTAGACTGTCACATTTTTAATAAATTTGTTTCTGATTATTTGTGAGAAGATTTTTCCCATTATTATTTATTTGTATGTGTGTTTGTCTACACACACACACACACATATATATATATATATATATATACAGTATTTACAATACAGGTAAAGGAAATTACTGTCTCTAGAACGAATGGCTCCCCGTCCCAGCCGCGAAAATGACGGAAACTTTAAAACTAACCACAGACATTCTTGGGTACATCCAGGGTGTCATCCGCGAATAATAGAGGACCGTGAAATAAAAATCCACGAACGAACTTGCGAGCGCGGGGGCTGTACTGTACAAAACTATGTTTGGATAAAAGGAAATGCACTTTAGATTAAATAAAGTCTACAAAATTAAATTTACCATAAAAGTGAAGACATTCTGTATACAGTGGCTGGCCTGACATGAATGGGGGAGGTTGTTGGGTGTTACTGGGTCAGTATTGTGGGAACCAAATTTTATCAGGGAGTGCTGAATATTAATTCGAGATGCTAAACCGGTACCAATTAGTGGCGAAACTCGAGATTCTACTGTATGCAATAGTACATACCAGATGAAAGCGAGTGTCCTAGATCAGCATGCAACAATGGACAATGAAACAAGTGTGTGTGGCGGTCGTCACTGTTGCTTCTACCCCTCACCTGCCAATTCCAATGTGCATGGTGGTAGGAAATTTGAAATTAATTATCTTCAAAACCCAGTTAATGCGTGTTTAATACAGATAAAAAGTTAAACACTAGTAGGATTGGTTTCAATTAATAAAGCACGGTAAAGCCCTGGCTAGGATAAACGTTCAGCAGTAAAAGATCGTCTACAGTACTGTACAGTCATTCAACATAATCTGCCCATCTTTCATTTAATTCTGACTTAAATATGACCTTATCCTTTTTCTAGTCTTGTCCAATTTTTCCTCTTTTATGGTTCACTTCTCTATTCTTTCTATACATGTTCCTTCAGCTATATCTGTTGTTATAATCCATCTTCTTGCTAAAAAAAAAAAAAAAGTCCTTAAATCTGTCTACATATCTTATGGAATGCTTAACACGAGTCCAAATTTTCCAGACCGATTTTCTTTTATCCACTACCTCTAAAATTTCATCTGTGATCCTGTCAATTCTAGCATATTCACTATTGTAGTCTATTAGTTGTTCCCTCTTCTCAAATGTCATTGCTTGGAAAGTTCTGTTTACTGAAGCAGACACTCCTAGAAACTTTAAACCCCTCACTGTACTTCCTTCAGTTTATCACTAAAACTAATATTACTCTCTCTCTTAAGCATCTTGCCTACTTACTTCCATCACTCTACTTTCAATCATTATCAGTATATTAGCTTCTACTACACATTTTTCTGAATCAACCATCAGAGTATTGTGGTCTGTTAGTAAAAATTGATTTATCACTCATCAGCATCCAGTATCTTTATCAATCAGGTCTGCACCTATCTTACTATCAATGAAAATACTGAACCATCACATTGGTTACATCACGCAGCTTTGATGCAATCATATTTTCACAGTGAATCATTTCCCCTCCTCCTACTTCTTTTAACACTTGCATAACATCCTGACATTTTCATGGTTACCAGTGTCTAGGCTACCAGATGCAAGAGAATTTTAAACTCACTCATTTGATGATCAAGGATAATATAAATAAGGTCAAAGGCAAGCATCAAAACATTGGCATATGAGGGCCATTAAATATTCTTCTATTTCATATTCAGGTCCTTTAATGGTTGCAAGAAGTAAGAGAACTTCATAACTTGAATGATGAAATAACACAATACAAACCACTATAGGTAAACCTACCCTGTATTTGTTCTCTCAATTCCCTTCCATTTCCCCATCATCCACTGTACATTAAAATATTCTTTCTTTTATCATTGTAGCTCTCACGATGAAGAGTAACATTTGCAAATACAGTAGTATCTGATGTTAGCACTAAGTATCACTAGTGTAAGATACATGAACCTGTATGTTCAAAGTGTAAATATACATCAGCAACCAAGCCACCTTTAATATCGTCATTTTACTTTCACCACAAAGGTCATATACAGTATTTCACTTCCACCACCAAAGCTACATATTTCCCTCCCACACTATGGTCGTTTAATCACTGTCTTTGAAGGGGGTTTGTTTGCTCAATATGGAGAAATTGCAATCAACTTATCCACTAACTTGAACATCAATAACTGTAATAGATTTCTTACTAAAAGATTTCATAGTTGTATGAATCACATCAATATACTATAGTGTATGCCCTATTTATTGCTGTATCATTATTACACTGATGAATTGGGGATGATGTCTGCTTAGCTGCTTGAAGGCAAAATGGAAGATTTTGTGCTTTTCAGTGCATACACTGTACAAAATTTTATACCCCAGCATTATGCCTTATTTAAAACCCTTGCAAATATATTTCTGTCTTGTCTGGTGAAACTAACCCACAAAACTTTGACAAACATACAATAGCTACAGTATTCATGCAACAGAATATCTCGTAATCTTGAGAAAATTTTCCTCAAGAGCCTAAACTTACTACAGGTACTTTATATTATTTTTCACGGGAAAAATTTATCCACTTATCACCGATTTGTTTAAAGAAGCACTTTGTGGGGAAATCATTTATGACTATAACAGGACCCCTTATAGTCCATGGGCCAACAACCAAAAAGGCCCGCCCCCACACCCTTCTTTATACTATCCATCATTTTTCATCAGTTACCTTGATGACTAAGCCTCTAAAAAAGCTTTGTTAGTCAAGTGATTTCTGGTTGCTAGTACAGTACAGTACCCGTAAATACCGGTAGATATCCAAGATGGCCACCAGCTGACTGGGACCAAAATTGAAAACAACACAACTGTTCAACCAGTAAGCCTAAAAACACGAGAGACCTATGTGTGTACGTGTAAACTAATTTGGGGGCGAAAAATCGACTGGAATGATTATTTTGAAGTTTCAAGGTAATCTTCAGGCTCTACAGTATGTCATCATCCACAAAGTTGGGGGGATTAGCGACGAGAATTGACACCAGGTCCAGCGGCATCGTCTCCTGATGTGTCCAAAGCAACCCCAGTCTCTTTGCTCCTTGAACCCAACCATGTGGAGTCAGTTCTGGTTAGGTGATGGTAGAACTCCAGCGACCTCCTCCAGACAGCAGCTTGGTAGTTATAGCATCTGATGTGGAGAAGACTGGAGTGGCAGGGAGGCAGGAGGCTGATGTCCACACCCATATCAGTGCTCAGAACACCTCTCTTTGGTGTGAATCACTTAATTAATTTTTGGTGCCGTCAATTGTTGATGGTTGGTCTGTTTGAACTCATACACCAAGCACGCATACTCCTCCAGGACATAAATCACATCATCTAGCACCTCCTCCAGCTCCCTGAGTAGCTTGGCACCCAATGGCAAAGCTAAGGTCACCTGCAGCCTCTCATGCATCGGCTTTTTGGCAAGGTTTTCCAGCAGCTTGACGGTCATCAATGAAATTTTGCCTCAATGGATCTAATATTGCTTGAGCAGAAGTCTTTCCAGTGTCTCAAGCAAGGTCTTGAGCAAATAGTGGCAATGGTTTAGTGCTTGCCACTCAGCACCTTGTTGATGGAGCCACTGGTGCATAAGTCAGACCGGATGACGATATGCTCAGCACCACTTCCTTCCATGGACTTCCAGATAGCACCCCAATACGCACTGCTTGTGTGAAAGACACCAAGTCTGATAAACATTTTAAGGAATTTCTTGGGGTATTGCTACATAATAGCATAGGCCTTCTTAACTGCTGCCAAGTCAAAACAGGCAATGATCCAAGACTGGCCTACTGCATCAGTCATACCTTGAGCTTGAACCAGACACACCAGCACTGAGCTGATTTCTGTGATAAGGGCTGGTATGGGAGGAAGGTATAGTATTAAAGTGTGGAGAGTTGTTCAGTATATCTTTGTTTCCTGGTGCAGGACGTACAACCTTTCCACCTTGGAGCAATCTGGGGTACGGGTTGGTCGGGCCGAGATGAAATCCTACTCGTTAGAACCCACATAAAGTCTGAATTGTGAGCCTTGACTGCCACTAACATGTCCTTGCTGTACTCTACAGAAATATCAAACTTAGGAGGAGCCTGCTTCTTCCTCACATAACATGGGGAAAGTTCACTCTCCACGTACTTCACAGACTCCACTTTGGTAGAAGCAGATGCTTCTGACTTTTCAGCAGGTGGTTGTTCAACATCATCATGGTCATTGTTGGCAGTGGCAGTGATGAGTTTCTTTGGAGATAAGACCATGAGTAGTGTGAGTTGTTCCTTTCCCAGACAGTGTCTCTTCCTGAAGGTCGAAGTTGTTGAACCATGAATGAACGAGAGAAGACATGGCTATGTCGATGTTTGGAGGTAAGGGACAAGGGTCCTCCTTGACCTGGATGAACACTGCTGTCAATACCCCAAGCACCCTTGAGTATAATACATAGTGACCAAAATGTTTGAGCAAGGTGATGATCTCTGCTTTTCCAGTAAGATGCCAGAGTTATGCCAAAAAGCATGTGTTTGGAAGTGACCAAGTGTCCATTTGTGATAGCACACATGACATCATGACAGAATGAATCAATGAGGCGTCCTTTCATTTTCTCAACAATCAGACACTCGAAGAAATGCTGTAGCAGTGTTGGAGGGGAGTGAGATCTCTAATCACCTTGCCTGGAGGATGGGACCAAGGCAGCTCATCTGAAGACCTGGAGGTAGGCATAATACAGGAGATACCTTCTCTTTCAACATGGTGATCCTCTCAACATAATTCCTTGAATAATTGATTCCTTGACATGGTTACTGATATACTGCACTCAAAAGCATTCTTATGAGCCTTGAGCATGGCCGTACCAGTCTCCGACGATGTCGCAACAGGACCTTCCGAAGGATGAATTGGTGGTAACAGGCAAGATGATACCTGGCCGCCTTTGCCACAATATCATCTTTCTATGCCATAATTGCACCATTCTGGGTGGCTTCAGCAATCACATTGATAGCATTCTCGTAGCCTTTGGATTTAAGTCTTTTGAGGTCTTCATACTTTCCGCCACTCTTTTTTCCTCTCTTGCCGCAAAATATGCATTCGCACTAAGGCAACAAGTCAGGATGAGCACTCACTGAATGATTGTGCTTCTGCATTTTCTTTGGACCTTTAATCTCCAGGTGAGACTCAGAACTTATAAGGATCAGCTTTATGCTTGAGGAGTCTAATTGTATGGGTAAACATTTGATAGCATTTTCTGCAATATTCATGCTGTTCTGAAAAAACCATCAGGAAGATTACAACAGATGTTTTCCTGCTCTCATAGTCTGTAGAGCCACCGACTTCTCTGATTATTCTTCCTACTGTATGGAAGACAACCTCATCTCTTTTTACAGTGTCATGGGGAACCATGCATTCACGATTTACATGAGTTTTGAGAGGTTCCTTTTTTTTAGACTAAATGGCTTTTCATCACCCATAATGTACTCTAAAATTAGAAGAAACTATCTTAATAAGGCTAGCACTACAAACTAATTTGTTCTCGAGCTCTGAAAAAAACCCTCCCCCCTTCTTTATACTTGTCACCATTTTTTTCAGTTACCTTAATGTCTAATCTAAAAAGTTTTGTTAGTTTAGCAATTTCTAGAACATTTAGCTACCTGAAATCTAGACAACGAAGTTGATATTTGGCTATTTGTACGACCATTTTGGACATTTGACCCGAAAGATGTGCTTCAACCCCTACATGGTTTCCATATAATAAACCTCGATACCTCCCTCTGATTACCAAAAAGTTAATTTCTGTTTTTGCTGGCAAAGCTAGATAATGATGTCTAAAATCATGTGAAATGGGTAGAAAGTGGCAACTCAAGTCTCATGTTGGCAGAATAGAAGAAATTGTTGTGTAGCGTCTCCGTTACCATGGGAACCAGCCCCAGCGTTTTAAATCCAATGCTGTCGCGATTTCTGCATGACCTGGGAGACAAATCACTCTGAACTTATTTTATATCACTTTATTTTATTTCCACCTCCTTTCTATTCCAAACATGTGATTATATAATACTGGAAAGGTAGACAAATAGAAAAATGGAATTCAAAAATTTTTTTTTTACTTACAAGTGGCAATTCTAAATGGAATGTGACTTTAGAGAAAGGCCTCTGTTCCACATGCTGCGGTGAGTTTCAGACATCACCTACATAAAACAACTTACATTTACATAATTCTACACTAATTTTACTATTTATTGCACTCAAATATGTAGATATTATTAAGCTTAGACATCAAGGTAACTGAAAAATATGGTGGCAGGTATAAAGAAGGGGTATTTTTTTTTGAGCCTATGGACTACTGTATTATACTGAACTTTTAGATGTTATGTTGCTAAGTTTTGAATGTAAACCCATGAGGATAAATTCCATTTCCTCTAGTTTTTCATGGCTGGGTAAGGGTGTATATTAATTAAAATTCCCACAAGTCACCAATAATATAAAGTAGTGGATGGGGTAATTATATTAATGAAGGGGAAGGAATGACCCAGAGCTCTTCAGACCTAACAGACATGAAATAACCAACTTTCTTATTACCCTGGATGATTTTCTTCAATTCTCGTACGGTTGTCGTCTCCTTAGCATCTGTGAAGATTGTAGTCTTCTTCCTCCGTACCATTAAAAACACATCCTGCATCAACAAAAAAACAATTAAAAAAGCTTTAAATGCTCACCTTTCAGCAATTTTTTTTCTTACTGATCAAATTATATAAAATGTTACAATCTAAAACAACAACATATCAATACTTTCTCATCACTGAATAAGTTAAATGATTAGCGGTGATCCACAAAATAAGTACAGTACAGTATAATAAATTTTTAATTTATTAATGTATAAGTCAATCTAAAAGCTAACTACAAAATTTCAGGTTTGTAGTTAAAGGACTGAGGCATAAAATCCCATTTTCACCCAACAGAACAAAACATGGAGCTGTATCCTGATCAGCAATAGTCTGCTTTGACGATGGTCATAAATGAAGACCATCTCGCTATATACAGGGAGTTCTGCTATAACGCGTGTTTTGATAACGCGAATTTGCTCTAACGCGATTTATGAATTCGGAACAATATTTGTATAACGCGAACGCTTGTTTGCTATAACGCGATTTTTGCTTACTATTTCTCCAATTTTGTGGTATTAACTGTGAATATGGTAAAGAAGAATATCTCCAAAAAGCGCTCTGATGATAGAATTCCCGGTGATTATCGTAAAAGAAAGGATATAACACTTGAAGAGAAGCTCAATGTTATCAACCTCAAAATCACCCTTCTCCCCCATCAAGTTACATTCATATTTTTTCAAGGTAAAGTGTTAAATTTACTGTATGATTTCATTATTAGATATGAATGTAACATTTATTTAGACTGTGCTATCCTTTGTGTTAGGCTAAATACTAAATTTTTTCGATTTCGAGTAATCTGCACCTAACCCTATTTTCTCCATAAGCCCTGTTATTTCTATTACGCGATTTTCTATAACACGATATTTTACAAGAACACAATTATCGCGTTATAGCAGAACTACCTGTACGATCAAAATAACTCGCTTTAACGATATCCATCAAATAGCCATTGATATCCATTGGTTGGATCTTTTTTATCTCCAGTGCAAACTATGGGGGTCCCAGGGTTATGAACGAGTTCCGTTCCTAAGGACATTCTTAAGTCAGAACACATACCCTATGTGCACTATATCATAGCCCAAGTCCTTTTATACATCTTGAATCACTTAATTTAAGAGAAAAAAGAAATTGAATGATGGAATACAGTAAAGGAAAGTAAAAATTAAAGTTTAACACTTACATTGAAACCAGGGACTGGTTGATCTTTCACTCATATCACTAACAATCTTTCCATTTCAATTAATAATCCGCTTCTTTCTTTTGTTCTCACAGTTGAGTGCATTGTATATGTGTGTGCGTAGATACACACACAAAACATATACAAATAAACAATAATGAGAAAATCCTCTCACAAATACAGCTACTCCTCGACTTACGACATACTCGACCTACAACCACCAGCACTTATGACTTGCCTCAATCGGTACAACCACCCACGCATACGACCACCGCAGTCGGTACCACATTTTTTTAAATGACGCGCATATTTTCTAGACCGAAACATTTCCGTCCCGTACAAGAGCGTCGCGTGGGCTGGGTCGCGCTGCCTCGTGGCTACAGCAGCAACGCCGTAGAGCGCTTAGTTGGTGTTTGGTTGTCGTTGTTCTCACAAATGATCGCACTGTGTACTGACATGATTTTCATATGTAATTCATTTTAGAATGACTGGCAAGTGTAGAAGTGAGAGTGCTGGTGGTGCTCAGAAGAAAAGGAGACAGCCAATTACTTTTGAGTCAAAAATGAAGATAATAATGCAGTATGAAAATGGAAAAACAGAAGCAACCATTTCACGCGACCTAGGCTTCTCGCACTCGACCATATCTACTATTTTGAAGGACAAGGAACGTATTTGTGAGGTAGTGAAAGGATCAGCACCTATAAAGGGAACTATAATAACGAAGAAGAGACAAGGTCCTATTCATGAGATGGAAAAATTACTTGTGATATGGATGGAGTGCAGGACTACTCTCGTGAACTGTACTCATCAGTGGCGAGCAAGATGGGAATTGCAGAGCCCAAACCCTTCACTGCTTCCTCTGGGTGGCTGCAAGGGTTTAAGAAACGTAACAATATAACCAACATTAACATTGTTGGTGAAGGAGCGAGTGCTGACTGTGCTGCCGCCATGGATTTTCCTCCATTCTTATAAGAAGTTATGGAGGAAAGACAGTACACCGACGACCAGGTGTTCAACATGGATGAATCCGGTCTGTTTTGGAAAAAATTACCTTACAAGACCTTCGTTGTCAAGTCTGACAGCAAGTGTCGTGGCCGGAAGTTGCAGAAGTGCATCACAGTCCTGTTTACCACCAATGCCTCCGATAACTGTAAGCTCAAGTTGTCGGTGATCCACACAGCCCGCAAGCCGCACGCCTACAAGAACATGGACATGACCAAGCTAAATGTCCATTGGCTAACTTCACGTAAGGCGTGGATGTTCACTGGTCTGTCCCTCTCCTGGTTTGACAACTGTTTCGTTCCTGACATGAAGAAATTCTGCGCGTAAAATAATGTGCCATTCAACATTTTGTTGCTGCTTGACAACGCACCAGGACACTCGCCCCTACTGTAGGATCGTCACCCCAGTGTAAAAGTGGTCTTCCTTCCTCCCAACACTACGTCGTTAATCCAGCCCATGGACCAGGAGTTGATATGCAACGTTAAGGCTGCATTCTCCGCAAAGAAGTTTAAGCTCCTGAACGACTATACCAACACCAAGGATGAGTTGCGTAACCTTCTGAGTGGCACAGATAGCGAGGACGAGGATCCAGAACAAGAGTTGGTGGAGCATGAAGTGCGAGTTAAACAGTTTTGGAAAATGTTTAACGTAAAGAAAGCTGTTGATTTCTTGGTGGAGGCATGGGGGCAGCTGTCTGTGGCAACGATTTGTCACGAGTGGCGGCATGTGTTGTAGGGTATCCCAGGTGGGAGGCAGAGTCAACCTGTGGCTGGTGAGGCTCAGTCTGTTGCAGTGGACCTTGCAAGAGAAGCTGCACAGAGTGTTACAGCTGCAGGCTTCTCCGAGACCACCAACGACGACATCATGGAGGTAATCAGGGATCCTGAGGTGAATGCCGACGAGATTTAGGAAGACGATGAAATCAGTGAGGAGGCAGGTGGTGCGGCAGCAAGTGAACAGAAGTTATCTCATGGTGATGTAAAGGATGCCATCGAGTTTGCCGAGAAACTTCAGCTCACCCTTTCAAAAGACCCTGTCAATCACCGGTATGAAGTCTTCAATAACCTTCTAGACCAAAGTATGGAGCAGTACATAAAGATGTATCACGACTACATCAACACTAGCCGTCAGCGTAGCATCACCGACTTCTTCGCCCACAACCCACCACAGCCAGCCCAAGTCAGTGATGGTGACTTTGAGGGGTTTGTCAAGGAGGCCCTGACATCTGTGGTGGATAGTGATAGTTATTTACCTGAGGGCCACTAATCTGCCCTCTGCCTCGGAACGAGCCCCCATCCCCATGTGCCCAGTCATCTCTTCTACTAACGTAAGTGTTAAACCTTGATTTTTCTTTTACCTGGTACAGTATATTATTCTCTTATTGATATTTCTCTTCTGTATTATGTGTGTGCATACCATCATAAAATTAAGATACTAATTTTGCTAATTCGTTTACGCGTTTCTCGTTTTACACGGACCTCCACGGGTTCAACTGACCAAGTAAATGCAATATATATATATATATATATATATATATATATATATATATATATATATATATATATATATATATATATATATATATATATATATATATATATATATATATATATATATATATATATATATATATATATATATATATATATATATATATATATATATATATATATATATATATATATATATATATATTTTTTTTTATATATACATATATATATATATATATATATATATATATATATATATATATATATATAATCAAAACGTTGTCACCTCTTTTAAAACTTACTATAATAAAAATATCTCAGGATAAAATGAACGAAATTGAACTCGGTCAATTTAGGATAGTAGCCAGGTTTCATAAGAACATAAGAACATAAGAATGGAGGAAACTGCAGGGCCTATTGGCCCATACTGGGCAGTCCCGTTTACACCCAACCCCTATTGCTCATATGAGCATCCAACCTATGTTTGAAGCAATTCAGCGTATTCGAGTTAATGATGATATTTGGTAACTTGTTCCATTCATCCACTACTCTGTTTCCAAACCAGTGTTTACCTATTTCACGCCTAAATCTAAATTTGTCCAATTTAAAACCATTGTTATGAGTTCGCTCCTGGTTGGATAATTTGAGTACCTTTGTAATGTCCCCTTTGTTTAGCCCTGCCTTCCACTTATACACCTCTATCAGGTCGCCCCTCGCTCTACGTCTCTCAAGGGAGTGCAGATTAAGATGCTTTAACCTGTCTCTATACTCAAGGTTCCTAATGCCCGGGATTAGTCTTGTCATTCTCCTCTGAATTCTTTCCAAGGATTCTATATCCATTCTGTAATACGGTGACCAGAACTGAACTGCATAATCCAGGTGTGGTCTCACAAGAGCAAGATACAGTTTTAGGATGACCTCGCTAGTCTTGTAACTAACACTCCTTTGTATGAACCCAAGTACTTTATTAGCCTTGTTACGAGCAAAAACACATTGTTTACTTGGCTTAAGGTTCCTACTTATCATTACTCCTAAATCTCTCTCGCAGTCGGATTTCTCTATGGCATCGTTGTTCATCTGGTATCTGGTTTCCCTGTTTACATTTCCTATACTGAGTACTTTACATTTGTCGATGTTGAATGTCATCTGCCATTTTTCAGACCATTCGAAAAATTTGTTTAGATCCTCCTGTAGTTTTGCCGAGTCCTCGTCAGATTTGATAACACGTCCTATTTTAGTATCATCAGCAAATTTACTTATGTTGCTGTCTATGCCGATATCTATGTCGTTTATGTATATAATAAACAATAATGGTCCAAGTACTGAGCCTTGGGGAACTCCACTTGTGACGTTGCTCCAATGGGACTTAGTGCCGTTAATGCTCACTCGCTGTTTTCTGTCCTGTAACCACGCCCTAATCCATTTAAGGATGCCACCTTTGATGCCATGAGCTTCTACCTTTCTAATTAGTCTTTCGTGGGGGACTCTGTCGAAGGCTTTGCTAAAGTCGAGATATACCACATCATAATTGTGCCCCTCGTCCACTGATTCAAAAACTGATGAAAAGAATGTTAATAGATTAGTTAGGCAAGAACGTCCGCTTGTGAAGCCATGCTGGGAATCATTGATCAATCGGTGCTTCTCCAGGTGATTTCGAATAGAGTTTGAAATGATTGCTTCCAGTAATTTGCCTACTATTGATGTTAGACTGATTGGGCGGTAGTTAGAAGATAGTGATCTATCCCCCTTCTTGAAAATCGGTATTACATTCGCTATCCTCCAGGATTCTGGTACTACACCTGTTTTTAAGGACATGTTAAACAACTTTGCTAAGGGCATACTAAGCTCTTCCTTACATTCCTTTAATACTCTGGCAAATATCTCATCGGGACCAGGTGACTTATTAGGCTTTAGTTTGTCTATTTGCTTACTAACATCGTTACTAGTCACTACTATCTCACTTAATTTGTTTTCTTCACTATCTCTGAATAGAGTCGGTGCCTCGGGTATCATGTTTAAATTTTCGGAGGTGAAAACTGTTGAAAAATATTTATTCAAATTATTGCTCATTTCTCCGTGTTATCAGTGAGCTCGCCGAGTCTGACCGTATTGGTCCAATCTTTTCTCGTGTTTTAGTTTGATACATTTGGTAGAATCCTTTGGGGTTTGTCTTCGCCTCCTTGCTATCCTTACCTCATTATTCCTCTTTGCTTTCCTTATCTCGGTTTTAACCCTACTCGCCAATACCCTATAATAGTCCCGGAGGTGAATTTCGCCACGATTTATCCTTCTACCTATAGCCTTCCTTTGGCCAATGATGTTCTTTAAATAATTATTTATCCATTTAGGGTCGTTGTTGTCTGATCTGAGTTTTTTGTATGGTATGTTCTGCCTTTGTGCATTAAGTAACGGTTAGCACCAGAAATGAAGGTCAGATTCATTCGAATCACAATAGGAAAAACGTATTTTTATGGAAAAATCGAAACCTTGCAACTACCATAAATTGACCAAAAACTCTTTCTGGTGGTAGTGCTGTTCTCAGAAATTACCAAAAATCTGCCCCAGTATTACCCATTGAACTCCTCCTCAGAGAGAATACAAAAAAAGTTTAAGTGATATTATGCCAAAACATATTCCTCGTACACTTTGGCTAAGAAATCTTTTCTCTTCCATGAAGAAATTTCCTAAAATTGGCGCTAAAGGTTCACCACAGTCACCAAGTACTGTATTACCTGACCAGGATAAGGTCCTGAACCTGTGCTGCTCAACCATATCAGTTATTACCTACAGTGCACATAAATTTGTGCTATATATATATATATATATATATATATATATCTATATATATATATATATATATATATATATATATATATATATATATATATATATATATATATATATATATATATATATATATATATATATATATATATATATATATATATACACACACAGTATATGATGTTTGTACGTCTCTATATACAATACCTAAATGGCTGAAATCAAAACTGAGGAAATATTAAGCCAGAATATAATCTGCCTCAAATATGACAATACAGAACTTTCAACATGGTTGATGTTTTAACTCCAACTTATATAAGACAATACGTCTACTAATGTGTTTCTGATATTGAATATGTAGCATTAAGTCCTTAAGCAGCGGGAATGTGGAAAAACGAATAAATATAAGGCAATAACGGCTTAATAAGTCGCATTTCCTTGCACCGGCATTTATTAAGCTCATCTATGTAGTGGGTTGCAGTAGGTATGTGTGCTAAGTCTCATATAATGTGAGATTTATATCAATTCTTTGAAATAATTAACTGCCAAAAATGTTGAGTTGAATATGAGAAAGAGAGAGGAGGTAGGAGAGTGACTTACCATGACTTTTGATATACGGAGGTAAATAACCAAACAAGACAACAACAGAGAACAGCGATAACGATGGTTCCCTTCCACAGTAATCCATTATCATTTACCCCTTTTAAATAATATTATATATTTACAAAAACTTAATAATAAATTTATAAGTATTATTTTATATTCATATTTATAAATTAAGGTACTCTGTGGTCACGACATATAAGACATATGTATGAATTATTTGTTGTTTCTGTGGTAGTATACAGATATAATGTATACCATATATTAGCTCATAATAAATTAATAATCGGATGGTATAATTTGAATGTTAATTAATATATTCTTAATATATGATAGGGAAAACGGGAATACTTGAGTGTTAGTGGGAGGTGGGGAGCGTTGGGCCTGGTGCAGCACTACTGTGATCGTTGCTCCACCAACCTCCTCCATATTGTTCTTTTTGGTTAACTTAGTTCACGTATTACTTTAAAAGACAAGAAGTAAGTATACCTGTACATTATATATCATCAATATTATGGCATTATCATGTTATTTGTTATATTCTATTTGTATATCACTTGGTTAATATGGAGATATAATTGAGAGTCATTTAGTAGCTGAGGGCTGTTGGCGCTGAACCAAGGCTCTGATTGGCTCATGGATTTTAAAAGCATTTAAAACAAACATGGCCTCAGAGTGATGCAGGAGTGTGTGTAAACCTCTCTAACACTTTAAATGAATGTTGGCTTCATTTTTAGTTAATTTACCTTTCCCTGTTGGAAGGTAGTGAATCAGTAATACGTTTGTGAGTCTGTGTGGTGTGGAGGGGTGGTTAAGGCCCACAAAGAGAAGAATAAGTCACAGAAATACCATATGCCAAAATCCCGAGGCGAAGAAATTGTGCGCGCAGTTGTGATAGATATTTCTTGTTAAAAGGAATAAGTGTTGGCGTGATTAATTAAAAAGTAAAGTGGCATTACGTTGTATAGTGTTGTGGAAAGATGGAAGACTCGAGTGAGGTGTTGGTCTGTGCCGCCGAGTACATTAAAGGTAAGTTGAGGCCGCCACTTGAATCTCACATTTACTTGGATATGATTTACCCTTGTCATCAATATCTTCTACGCCAATATTAGACAGAGGTAACAGTTTGAACATGTCTCGACTATTGTGTAATAGTAGTTAATAATTTACATCGTGGAAGTTATCCTAAGCATCACTACTCCCATCTACATACACAGCCCTAAAGTCTAAACGAGCATAATAAGAGCTTGAGTACAGCGTATAGGTTTAAGGATACATTATTATTTACGTATGGACGTATTTGATGACCTTCATGCCTTAAGGATCTCACCAAATTGACCAAAATCATCTCTGGGCAAATGTTTGGTTACAGCCACAATGAACCACAACACTGTTCTGCCATACTTAGGGGCTCCTTTCCATCAAAATGGGACATGGTTCAGTTTTTGTTGTTTTGCTAAAGGTGAAGAGGCCACAGTCCACTTGTTACTTCTTGGGAGTAAATTCAAGTAAGGGAGACAGACACTTAATGCTGAGCACACACAAAAATTGCATATTCATTACACATATACTATACAATTTTGGAAACTAAAGTTTTACCCACAATTAACACACACACATAAGAACATATTTACATAACACCCATAAAAGTTAGGCTGTGGTTCTTTGAAATTACAGACCTTTAATTCTGCTATGTGTCTGTCATTAGTTTTGAGATGATACCGTAAAGATATTAAATCACCCGAAGATAACGCACGCCTGATTATTTCACCCGATTATTAAACACCATTATGCTAACATAACTTAATTTAATGTTATGCACAGGGATATAAATAAATGCTAAATTTGTTATGGGTCTCCATCTCAGTCTTAATTTCTAAGGGTTTTGACTAGGTGGTCTTGAGTCTTACATTACTGGTACAGTATGAGACCTCTGAGAAGCATTTCAGTAATGTACTGTACAGGTATCTGCAGATATATACCAGTTTTTTTTTTGTATATGCCCAATAAATTTAAATTCATTTGAAAGGAATTGACCTTTTTATATTATATGAAAGCAAACATTCATTTACATGAGTAACAAACACATTTTGCGACCTTATTTTTCTTTAAGAATGTAAAATTTTAGCTTTTACAAGGGTATGATGGCCACTCAGGATACAGACATGCTGTGCTGTTGATTGTTCATTGTGAAAACCCCCCAAGTTGAACAACATTTTCCCTCGGAACATAAACCCTAAATAATACATGGAATCTACCATTTGTTGTACAATTGCTTTCATTCCCCTGGAATGTAACCCACAGTAATACAAAGGGTTCTGCAATTTGATATGCGGGGCATGTTTTTGTTTTTTTTCTTCACATAAACGGATTTTCAAGAATGTAACCCCTTCATAATATATAAGAGAATACTTGTACTACTGTACTGTATGTAGATGATCAAAATGGTACTGGCATCTGTGATGGGTTTTGAATTACGTACTAAACATATGGTTTTGCTAAATATTTTGTATCTAACATGTTGACCAGACCTACTGTAAGTAGAGAGGCCTTTACTGTGGACCTCTCCAAAGTGGTATATGTGGATCTATTTTGAGCTTTCTTTATTAAAGTTATTTTTGCACAGTGTAGGTTCATTGGTCTCTTGAGCCAATAATCAGGGTCTTTGTAGAGGAGTAGGAGTAGGATACCACAAAATCCACAAACTGTATCTGAGTTGAAGTGCTGCAGTCATGCTTGATCTCAAAGATATGCCACTGACTGCCAATTAACACACAGTATTAGCTGGCTGATTCTAGTACCGGGTACTTACTTGTCCAGTTGAATGGCCAAAACTGAGCCAATTGTAGACCAGTGAGCCTCACCATCAGAGTGTGTAAAGTACTTGAGAGCATTATAAGAGATGCTTAATAGAGCATCTACTACGAAACAACCTTGTAAAGGATTGCCAACACGGTTTTAAGCCAGGATGCTCATGCTTAACACAATTACTCAAGGTACTGGATGTTTCGACCCAAATTCTGGAACATGGTGGCAATATCGACAATATATACCTAGATTTTGTCAAGGCTTTCAACAGCGTACCCTATGAAAGGCTGAGAGTTAAACTGGAAGGGTACGGAATTTGGGAAAGTGTCCCAGCGTGGATCGGAGACTTTCTGCATGACCGCAAGCAGTGTGTGGTGATTGATGGTACAAAATTGTCATGTGTACCCGTTACAAGCCAGGTACCACAGGGCAGTGTATTGGGACCGTTGTTGTTTGTTTGTTTGTTTCATAAATGAAATGGCAGAAGTTATACACTCCTCCATACAAATGTTTGCAGACGATGCCAAGTTATTTAGGGAAATTAAGAACCAAACAGACTGCTTAGAGTGCAGAAAGATCTTTGTGAGCTTTAAGAGTGGTCGAAGAAATGGCTGCTAGATTCAATGTCACAAAGTGTAAGAGGATGCACCTAGGTCGTTCCAGTGGTAAGGAGTTGTATCATGTCTCAACAGGACAAAGAAAGTGCATTAATAGAGATCAAATACGAAATTTGCAAAAAGGACCTGGGTGTGTATATGTTAATAATGAACTGAAGTTCTAGGGCCATTGTGAGAAGAAGGTGAATCAAGCAACTGAACTACCTGTAGTTGGCTTATAAGAAGGTCGTTCAGATATTTAGACGGTCCATCCCACGTAAAAAGCTTCAATTGTGAGTTGCTTCCCCGCCTGGAGTACTGTCATCCCATCTGGTTCCTGAGATATACTAAAGACTGTCAGTTGATTGAAAATGTCCAAAGGAGGGCTACCAGACTAGTGCCTGCACTTCGGCACCTCAGCTATCCAGAGAGATTAGAGGACCTGCAAACTGCCTAGCTTATACTACAAGTGGTCACATCTCAAGGTTGAAGAAGCCACAAGTTCAGAAAACTGTGAGGGCAAACTTTTTCAGGGTGAGAATTGTGAACTCTTGGAACAACCTGCCATAGAGTGTTGTGATGGCACTGAGTGTGAGCTGTTTCAAGACCAGACTTGACCAATACTGGAGCGAGTCCGACTAATTACCCAAATGTAGCTGCAATGAAGTCAAATAATGGTCCTACATGAATAAATCGGATTGCCAATCACTTCTCGACTAGTATTTGGTGTCACAAAGTGAAAAAAAAAAGGAAAACGTAATTTAATTTGAGTTAATAGATCGCGTGCATGTACCGAGGGAGCGAATAATTACCAAAATGTACCCAAATGTAGCCGCAATGAAGTCAAATAATGGTCCTACATGAATAAATCGGACTGCCAATCACTTCTCGACTGGTATTTGGTGTCACGAAGTCACAAAAAATTGGTAAACTTAATTTAATCTGAGTTAATAGATCAAGTGCATGTACCTAACCTAACACAACTCAGATTAAATTAAGTTTACCAATTTTTTGTGACTTTGACACCAAATAATAATCGAGAAGTGATTCACAGCCTGATTTACGCTTGTACGACCATCATTTGACTTCATTGCGGCTACATTTGGGTAATTAGTCGGACCGGTTTCAAGACCAGACTTGACCAATACTGGAGCAGGTTCAGATACATTCAGGAGCCAGATGGATGCATAGTACTTGTCAACAGTGCATAACAGAGACGTGATCGTCCGCCCAAGCGGCTAACGAGCCGATCAGTGGCAAAGAGGATAAAAAGTGGGACTATATATTGTATTACTTTTGATAAAATTATAAGTGTTACAATGGTAGACAGATAGGGTTTGTAATCTTATTTGCATATACTGTACTGTATTTGATAAAGTTTATTGAATTAGCTGGCAAAATGGCAACGTGCTTTTTTTTTCCATGCCATCCTTACCCAATTTTTATTCCAACAACCCCCCTCCCCCCCACCCCACCCCACCCCATCTCAGTTGTTGCTCCCCTTTATAACCTTTCCACACTGTGCAGAGTTTTATGATTTTGGATATTGCAGTGAAGTAAGGGTTCAAGGTTAGAGAGAAATTAAACTTTTTTGCCTGTGCTACTATTTCTGATTGAAAATGGGTCTTCATAAAAAAGACAGTCTTGATTCTAAAACCACTTTCCTTTGAATGATGTTAATGTAATCTGGACCATGTGAGTCTTCCTAGGTCATATTTCCAGATCTTAGTGACCTAGAACAAAAATTTTGTTCACTATTGATGTAGGCCCTGTATGGTGAAATCCAGTGGTGTTCATGAGTGTTTAAAATCCATGAGTTTGATGTCAAAAGTGTTTATATTTGACATGGATCTTCCATATGTATCATTCTAGTTAAGGAATTTTAAATTGGTGGATATTCATAGTGGGACCTTAAAAGAAGTTTCAGAGCACACTTCTTCACCCAGCCTTGTGAATGTTTATTGCATAGCTTACAACCTGCAACTAGCTACTGATTTATTGTCACATGGTAAGTTTAGTCATGGGGAGAGAAGAAACCTGGACCCAACTTAAGGTAAACCTGGTACAATACCCCTGTACTGTATTTACTCGAATATTTTTAAAATATAAATAGATTTAAGAGAAACAAGTATATAAATGGCTGTGTAATATATGGGACTTTCTCCTACCCACAGATCGGCTGTACTTCGTAACTTTAAGGACTTCTGGACGTCCACGGTCTACTGCAAATACTCACTATTTTACAATTGATGACGAATTGGTTTACGAGAACTTTTATGCCGACTTTGGCCCCCTTAATTTGGCTATGCTGTATCGTTATTGTCAGAAGCTCAACAAGAAGTTAAAGGTAAGTACTGTAGCTAGTTGCTACTACAGTTTTATTGGTATTGTATATTATTATATACCAGTACCATTCTTTCTATGATGACTGTTCTCTCTCTCTAGCGTAAAGTGAAGACAGAATACGAACTGGGAATTCTGTCACCCTCGGCAGCACCAGTCATCTTAAGTGTGTTGATTGTAGCACTTGTGAGTACGTTACCCCCCCACTATTATAACTTCCTTTGACCTTCCTTTTCACATCTGAGTCACCCTGAGTTTTTGCTATTCCTTAATCAGTACCCTGTACCAATATTCCTACACTGATGATGCTAGTGTTGTTCCCTTGGGTGTACTGGACCATATGTGTTACACTCCCTTTACCCATATTGACCCAGATACCTCTCTACAAAACTTACTGGGTTATGCCCACCCCAACTGTAACTAATACTCTCCTCCTCAGTTTAGCTCTGGTCTCCTGCTACCTCATTCCTTTTCCTTAATTAGCCATAATATCAGCAGTACTGTATTCCCCTTCACTTGGAAACCTTTATAGATCTGTAATGCGTATATTTTCTATTGTCCACAAATTTGATGTACAGTTGCACCACTACTGCATTTACCACTTAGCATTACCAATTCTCTCTCTCTTCCTGAAGAGTAAATTCGAAGCATTCGCTAGTGAGCAGGAGGGAGAGGGGAGGTGTGGGTCGGGGTAGGTGTCTTTCTGTGGAGGCAGACGAGGAACTGGGGGTGAGGATAGAAAGTGTATATCAGTTGAGAGAGATTACAATGCGGAATAACTCTTTGACAATACCGATGGGGTTTCCTCAGTTGAGTGTAATTGTCTAGCTCTAGCCAGATGAAAATAATAAAATTACAAAAGGATGAGAGGGGGATGAATTCATGTTCTAAGAGAGGTGTTCCTTTGCAAAAGAGGGCATCTATGAGCAAATGGATTATGGATATGTTTGAATCTATATCTTGAAGAAGCAGCAAAGTTTTGTTTTACCCCTTGACTATGAGATGGAACTTCCCCATCTAAATAAAATCATCTGGCGGTAGCCAGAATAAAATATATAAGAAACACATGGTAGTGAAGGGATAAATCAGCAATTAAATCAATCAGGAAGTGGGCACCACATACAGTATACTGTGCAGTAATATCAGCAAACCACATACAATAGTTCAGTTGTGCCAAGCAGTGAGGTTAAATGGGTAAAAATATAATCGTTTTATTATTAAATGTGTAATTTATGATGCAAAACAATATATAGAGTTGCTGATGTAATTCTCGACTCCCCACACTCCCTGCCTCCACCACCCAACTCCTACTCTGGTACAGTAGTTGAACCTTTGAAGACAATTTACAGAATAAAATTATGTTGTGTCCTCTCATTTCGATGGGGCAATTATGATGAGAATACAAATACAAGTGATACCTAGTATTTCAAGCAACAGTCACAATATTATGAAGTAAAATCATAAATGTATTTGTTTGATAATCCATTATCTGGGAACTGTATGGCTTATGCAGACTCACATCAACATGAGCCAGTCACAGAATATAGAGATACGGGAAGTATAGAAGTAGTATAAGGTGTAGTTAAAGCACTCACAATGTGTGGAAAAGGACATTTATTCTAAAGAACACTTAATAATGTGAACATGTAGCTAAAACTAGTACTGTGACTCCCACACCCGGGTCAGGAACCATTCCACCAGCAACTCTGTCCAGTGCATAGCATAGAAACTTTATTATTTAACACCTTTAAGCAACAGCTATTTTACTTTGCAACATAAATTGCACATTTGATAATAATAATATAATTTTTCCTCACAACTTAACTACAGTACAGTATGTGGTTTGCTGATTTTATACCAAACGGCTGCCAACTGAACGATTTTGTTTTCATCAAGTTTATAATACAGTAAAATAAATATGTGGTGCCTGCTTCCTGATTGATTTGATTGCTAATTAATCCCTTGTGTCGTATACATATATCCTCAATAATCGCAGGGGTTAGGTTCCAGAAAACTTTTTTTTTTTTTTACGGGAATTAACCCACCCGGGCACAGGTCACTAACCCACATCGGGGCCTGGGGGGCGAAAATAATAATAATAATAATAACAACAACAACAACAATAATAAAGAACCACAAAGAAATACAAAATGAAAAAAAATATCAAAAGTGAGGAACAATATATATATGTTGTGTTGTCAATAGTAAGAGAAACAATTGAGACCCTGCAATTGTGTGTAAATGAGGCAGAAAGTCAGATCATTAACCTGGGACTTGGTCACAATTTAATAATAATAATAATAAACGGTTTATTAATAGAGTTGCAGCCGGTGGCTGAAAATATACAGACTTACATTTGATTTAGACATAATGATATAATATGCATTGAATACATTTACAGGGCTGTACAGTACATAAATCAGGAGTTGTTTATTATTTTAACAATAGATGGGTTGGTGCTGTTCTTATATCTATCTGTGCGGGCTCTTATGGGCTGAATTTTGTTGTAGTGGCGGACTGCGAGAGTTGGGTGGGGGGTTGCAGGTGGCAGGTGGCGGCGATGACGAGGGTGGTGCAGTAGTCCACTGCCAAACCTTTCCAGTGCTTGGTGGTGGAGGTCACTGAGGAATGGCATTTCCAGGGTGGAGAGAGCGTTGGTGTAGCCAGAGTATTCTGCGCCGAGCATGATTCTGCAGGCCCTTTTCTGTACCTTCTCTAGCTGATGTTGTTGGGTGGAGTTGAGAGAAGACGACCAGGCTGGTGACGCATACATTAGTTTGGGGAGAATAAAGGCGTTGTAGATGGTCCTCAGCTCTGGCGTGGGTGTCCCCAAGTGACCTAAGTTGTCGTAGCATGTAGATACGGTACGAGGCTGCCTTGACTGTTATTTACAAGGGCCTTCCAGTCAAGTTTGTTGTCTATAGTTACACTCAGGAGTTTGGCAGACTGCACCAGCTGGAGAGGATGGGCACCCACTGGAGTGGTGGCGGTATTGATGTGCATGACTACGGTTTTGGTGTGGTTGATGGTGACCTTGTTCTCTGTAGTCCATGCCTGTAGCCTGTCCAGGGTGCCTTGTAGCGATGAGTAGCCTGGTGCGGTGTTGTCCACTGAAACCCCCACAGTGCAGTCATCCACGTACTTCCACCTGTGAGGAGTGTCCGATAGAGCGTCATTGATCTACCATAGACAACACATTATGCTTCCAATATCTTCTAGGCGGTAGTACCTCCCTGTTTGGTAGCTGCCTAATACCTACTGCCGTGATAAGCAAAACCATACATGTCGAAACACAATACTGTATATGGGAAAAATTTGTTTCGTCCAACGACCCCAAAGATGCATCCCCTAACTGATCAAAATATCCCCCCCAAAATCTGTAGGTAAACTAAGAGATATAATACTAGTAATATATCTTACTAAATAATGATTAACAAATAAACAGTGTACAGTACTGAATAATATTGTATCTTGAATGACTCCTAGTAGAATGAGTGAGAGGCAGAGTGTCGGTGAGACGCAGTGGATATCGTGCCAATCTGCTCTGGCTATAGTAAATCCATCACTGAAATTATAATTTAGGTGGTGATAATAGAGGTAGTGGTGGAGGGGGAAATTGTGGTAAGTGGTGAGGAGAAGATGCATCAAACAGTTTGTTTGGTAACACTGCCTGTAGCACTGCCAGACACAGCTGATGTTTACCCACAAAACTGAGTGTAAGTATAAATGAACAAGGTGGGGGTGATTAGAAAGGTGGAGTGGACGGAAATGGTAACACGCAATGGGTGTGTTGCTAAGCACATGCTTATCCTTGTCAGGAACATCAGAACATTCAACCAGAGAAAACCCACGTCTTCGTCGCTTGGCTGGATCAGGAACCTTAACACACTTCCTGTTCACGGGTGCCATGGTGGAGGGTAAATAAAGGTCACAAAAATTGCACCAAAAACAAGCACAGATCAAGAAACCGTCTTCAAACACCAACCAAAAAGTGAGGGAAACAAATGCTATCGCTGGAAGCTGGGACCATGAGCCATGCTACCATCTCTGGCAATTGCTGCTACCACTGGCTTTTGCAGACCTGCCGCTGTCCCATGATAATTCCGCGAAAACCCAGGTCAATCGGTGATAAGCATGCACGTGGTCGCAATTGAGGATATAGTAAACCCTCGATAACTCGGCACACATGGGGCTCTGACCTTGCCAAGTTACCCCAAATTCCTACAAAAATATGACAATAAAAAATGATCGACCCATTTATGTGTACATTACATATAATTACTAAATGTAAAAAAGTAACACTTCTCAACACTGCAGGTGAAGAATGAAGCATCATAGTAGGTGACACAGGGGCATGGTAGGTGATGCAGGTGACTTGATATGCTGAGATTTTCCCAGATAATTTTATATATCTCGGCATTTCCCAAGTTATATTATAATACATTCCGAGACCATATCCATGCCGAGTTATATGAAATTCCAAGTTATCAAATGTCGGGTTATCGAGGGTTTACTGGACTGTGATAAGCCAGTTTAGCGATTATCGGGTCCCGTGATTATCGAGGATGCAGGTATATTTTATTCAGGCTACTGCCAGACAATTTTATTTAGATGGGGAAGTTCCATCTCATAGTCAAGGGGTTAAACAAAACTGCTGCTTCTTCAAGATATAGATTCAAACATATCCATAATCCATTTGCTCATAGATGCCCTCTTTTGCAAAGGAACACCTCTCTTAGAACATGAATTCATCCCCCTCCCATCCTTTTGTAATTTTATTATTTTCATCTGGCTAGAGCTAGACAATTACACTCAGCTGAGGAAACCCCGTCGGTATTGTCAAAGTGTTCTTCCGCATTGTAATCTCTCCCATAGCCAACGCATATATGAACCGTGAAAAGTCTGGTTTGTGAACCAATGGTTATCAAAGCAATTAATCCCATAAGAATATAAAAAATTCAGGGGGTTAGGGATTGGCCACCCTCAGAAAACTCCCATTCACCCTTGATATATCTCTGTGGTGCACACTGCCAACCAAGAAAATAGAACAAACGTAATAAGCACTGAATAAGGAATGTAAAGCATAAATTTACTGTC